TATCTGGCCCAAATGATCCAGTGTCTGATCACTTTCATATTTTTAATACAAATATCCTCAGCCTACTCTCCTGAGGCGGGGAAACACATTATTCCCATTTTGAGTGAAAGAAGAGGTGGGTAGGGGAGGGTGAGTGGCTTGCCTAAAATGATATGGGGAGTGTGTGACAAAAAGTGATACTGAATCCTTGGCCAACACCAAACCATCTTTCTCAGCTTTTAGAGACAACAGCTATATCCAGTCCCCTTTATTTATCTCTCTAGAAGCCATCATGCCAAAACCTCTGCTAAATTAGAGAGTGAGACTGAAGGAAAGCTTTCAGCGGATTGGTTTTCTCCATAAATGGAAATATCACAAATCATTCTGGGAAAACAGGTCTTTCTGTTCTCATCCCTCTTTGTCTGCTTCTCTCCTTTTGGACGTCTTTTCCTCTGCTTCTGGCTCACAGTTTTCAGATGTATGGTCCTGACCATTTAAAAGTGTTCCTACCTCGCAGGAAAGGAGTAGCTTTTCATTCTTTGGAACTTACTATTTTGCAATGGATTGCACTCTGCAGGCAAGCAAGACTTCTGAAAGAGAGAGGGCTGCACAAAGCGGCACAAAAATAAACTGTATCACCAACAATACGGAGCCGGGTTCTCATCAGGGGTAGCTCAGTCTGAGTACTGCTGCAGCAGGGCTGGTGGCTGCCAGCTGTCCTGGATAGACAGCTTATACCCAAACAATGATCCTGCCACACTGGAGGAGGTCTCTCTCACAGATGAACACACAGTTGATGCTGAATTTCATCTTAGACATTTAGCCATTTAGTCCCTCTTGGCAGTCTGAGAGATTCCTCTTAATGACCCAACCAGGCAACTTCTGTCCTTGGCCAGGCACGGGAGGGGTGCCTACTGCACCAGTCCTGGCTCTTCCAAACTGCATTTTCAGTTTGGAAGAGCCAGGGACGGCTCTTCCCTGGGACGGGCAACAAGCAAATGATGGTGGTCTTGCTTAACGACTCCCAGTAACACACAAGAGATGTGGAGACTGCTCCATGCTTTTCTATGGACTTGGGCATCTGCAGCCTTCCTTTCCTGAGACAGTCTGATGCTCATCCCCACCTTCTTTGCAGCCTGCACACCCCAAAGCAGGTTGTTGGAAGGATGGCCACACTGATACTGCACAGAGAGGGAGGTGGCTGCATGAATGAGAGGGACTGAGAAACAGGAGAAAGATCTGATGGGTCAACATGAGCAAGGATGAGGAGAGAGCCCAAACTGCACTGGGAGAGCTACAGGGAGGAGGTGGAAGCATGTGGCTTAAGTGTCTCAGAGAGGCGTGTGGGAGAAGACAGAGATACGTCCCACGTTTCAAAGTTCACAGCATGAAATATCTTTAGTTGGGAAGAATGCGAAGGGCAAAGGGACTCAAGCAGAGAGGAGATGTGGTTCTTGCTTCCTTGAGGGGGGGGGGGGGGGGGGCGGGTCACAGAGCCATATAATGATTTGATCTTGCTCAGGCATTCAGGAGTATTAACTGTAGGGTGGCACAGGGCTCTCACCATCGCTGGCTCCGCAGACCACACGTGCAGCACAAGGAAAGGCTGTTGTGTCAGACCTCAGCAGCCCTGCTGAGCTGCTCCATCCCCCCTCCGTGCTTCCACCAGCACAGGTGCCAGGGAAGCTGCTGTACCATCTCAGCAGGCCACAGATGTCCGTCAGAGAATTGCCGAGTGACCTTGGCACGAGGAGTGACATCAAGGCCTTCCCCACACCGAGCGGGTTCCTGAACCGCTGCCATCCATCACTCACTCACTCTGTGCGCTTTGGGAGCCGCTGGCACAGCACACCCACACCGTGCCCTGTTTAACACGTCCCCGTACGGCACCAGGCAGAGGAGCGCTGTCACCCCCATTTTACAGGGTGGGACTCTGAGGCAGAGAGAAGTGGTTTTAACAGCATGCCTGTGGCAGAGCAAAAACTGAATCTTGTTCTCTTATGTTCCCAGTTAGCGCATTAATGACCTAAATTCTGCATCCTTTCCCCATCCATCGCCCAGAGGAGCTAGGAGGCATTGGAGGAGCGGGTGTGGTAGCACAGGCAAACAGTCAGCATCCAAACCCACAGCACTCTGTGCTGAGCACAGACAAAGCAGGGGCTAAAGTGGCACCAACACTGCCCTCATGAATCCCAGTAGGGTTGATCCAGGGAGGGGAATCAGCCTGGCACAGCATACGAGCCTGTGGAGAAGGGCAGCTCCACAATGTCACAGCATTTTAAGCAAGCCAAGGCTGGACACTCCAATGGCCAAGTTCCCTGCGGAGCCAGGTCAGCAAAGCCTGTGGGACACTGAGCACCAGGAGCAGATTTTCAAAGAGCCTGCATATCCCTCAGCCTGCCTCAGCGGCTGAACCTCTAACCAGCTATCCCACGCAAGTCCATAGAAAAAGACAGCCTGCACCAGATGCAGCATCTTCCCCAGGCAGCTCAATTCTTTACATAGGAATTAATCAGCCTCAAATTCAGCAAGAAACAGAGCGGGGGAGAGGGAGCAAAAAGGAAGCAGGGAAAGGATGTCACACAGTGAGGAGGTTTCCAGATGCACTGCGTCTTCCCTCCCTGGCTGATTCCAACTGGGAGGCTCCGGCTGTGTGCCAGGAACATCACCTGGGAGGTGTATGCAGGTTCTGCCTGCTCCCCCAGCATATACGGGCAGGAGGAACTTAGTGTTCAGGATCTGCTGGGTAAGGAACTGAAATCTGAAGCTGGAGACCTCCCCAGTGCCCCGGAATGTGCCAGTGTCCACATGCACTGTACAGCAGTGACAGCAGCCAAAGGACCAGGATGAGGAGCTGCTCATGTCACAGGCAGATGGCCCCAGGCAGTCAGGGGCAAGGCAGGGACAGGACCCCCTTCATGCTGTATCTGCCTGCCTCATAGGGATTTTAGTGGGCAAGTAGCAGGGTGGAAATATGCCAAGGCAATTTACTTGGCAATGAAGCTTTCCTTCCAGAAGAGCCATGGCTGACAAGCAGACACTTTTTGAACAAGGTAACTGGATTTGGGATGGGTGATTAATAACCTTTCATAACCCACAGTTTCAATGTGGGAATAGTATGTCAGAGCTACACAGAGAGGCTTTGTTCCTACTTTCTTCTCCTATTACTTACCTCTTAATGCACACACACACTCCTCTCTGCTGTCTCCAGTCTCTTCATGCAAGCTCCTCAAATGAGTAGCTAAATGCAATAGGTACCTTGGAGGCATCAGACACAAGCCAGATGGATGCAGAAGAAGCCAAACTTGGAGGTAGATCTAAAGGAACCCACCTACCTGCCTTCCATTTACTCAGATATTTACTCAGGAATGCCTCCCAAAGCATCCCAAACATTAATCCGTCAAGGGCTGGCCTCAAGAAGCAACTCGGGGAGAATCCTTTGAGCTTGGTCCTTCTTCTGTGTGTTCGCAATGGAAGTTCATTCCAATCCATCTGGGATAGACCTTTCAAGACATGACTTGGGGACATGACATGGTGACTGCAGGTCTCAGCCTGGGTAGGTTTGGTCTGGAAGAGCTCTCTTGCTCTTCCCAGAGGCAACAGCCTCTAGAGTGGTGGCTGCATTTTCCCCTTGCCCTTCACACCCAGCTGGTCCAGAAGCTGGGTTCAGGGTCAGGGTGGCAGGAGCTTACCCAGGCTGCCACAGCATTTGTCACTTTTCAGACTTGGGCTCCAAATGCTTCTGCTGAGGCACCAGCGAGCCTGAGCCCCTTTGTGGGTTGACATCTGGTGAGGAGGCCCACAGGATCACCATGCCTACCCACGCACATCATGCAGACAATGTATTTCTCCTTTCTGGGCAGACTGTGTCCATCAGTTCTGTGTTAATGGCCAGTCAGTGCAAGTGTCCAGAGGGAAATGGAATGGAGGGTAGGAGAAAACATTTGTGGGAACCTCAGGAGACATAATGAAATTGTCTTTCACATGGGCAACCCTGTACAAGAATGGACAACCTGATCATTTGAGATACTAATTAATCAGTGGTCATGGTGAAAATTATGATGTGGCTTGAGGAGTACCTCTCTGGAGTGGTACTCCTGATGTCAAGAGGAGATATGAGTGATGAAAATAAGAGCCTGGTAGACATCCCAGCTAACAAAAGACTTGGAAGATGTCACTGGCCCCTTGTTGGGATGGTCTTGTTGGTCATGGAGTGTGTGAAAAAGGGTGTCCCATAACTGAAACTGGCAGAGGGCCCTCTACATATACCATCCTGATGGAACTGTGTCCAGCCCAGCTTCCCTCCCTTATGGTGGAAGATTTTCCTCCCCCAGCACCAAGGTGTTTTGCTGTTGAGCTGCAGGCACACACTTGCACCGAGCTTCTTGTAGCCTCAGTCTGTGAGAGGACACAAGAGCAGGCCTGACAAAGGTATGCAGAAACAAGCAGTCATATGGAGATGTAGTAGATTAAGGACTTTTGTTCTAACACCGAACCCGAACAAAAGGATGTATCCTGCCCACAGAATTAGAGGGCAGTGAATTCACAGCTGAGAGAAACAAATACTGTTGCAACCCACACCTAATCATCCTGCCCTGATGCCCTCACACCAGAGGAAACACTGAGGTCCGATGCTGCAACTCAGAGTTGTGCCTGTGATGCTGAGGGAGGGGACGCTGACACCTGTGCTTTGCCCAGAGCCTGGCTCCCGTTCCCATCCCGCCTCCCTGCAGGCGGGCAGTGCAGGAGTCACGGAGCTCCTGGGGCTCTCCTCTCGGAGTGAGGCGTGCTGGGCTGGGTGGGCATCAGGCCGGAGCCTGACAGCAAACCCCACATTCCTGTGCAAATACACGTGCGAGTGTGCAAGGAGAGGCCTCGGGCATTTCCCGGGCGTGCACACCCGAGCGGGCATGCTGCCTGGGAGGAAGGCAGGCGGGCACAAAAGGTGACGCAGAGGGCAGCTGTTCCTGCAAGGCAGGTTTTGGTGTTCTCATTTGTTCTTTTTCTCTCTTGTTCCCTAGGGAATTTTAAAGGTCTGTGTAAGCAAATCGATCACTTCCCTGAGGATGCAGATTATGAAGCCGATACAGCAGAATATTTCCTCCGTAAGTCCGCAGGCTCTTTTTGCAATGGTTCGGGTGCCTTTTGTTTCTGAACCCAGGGTGGTGGAGACACTGGGACCTGTGAGGCTCAGTGGAAACCCCAGAGCCTCATCACCCCCTCAAAATTACTCCACTCACTTCCCAGGGGCTCTGCCCATGAAACAGTGTAAATTTGCGCTCACAGAAACAACCAATGGCATTTTTTTTATACGCAGCTATTAACTGTGATATAAAATCAGAGTCTTAATTCAAATCCACTGAAAAGCTGCTGATTGAGCCTAAGGTCAGACTGGCCTAGCTGGGGCAGTGTGTGTGTGTGAGTGTGCATGTCCTCCTAAAGCAGAGAAAGTTTATATTTCCTTATCTGATACTCTGGTGGCACCAGATTTAAGAAATTAGCTGGATTTTGTCTGAGGATCTCTTATTGCTGTCTTCACCTTTCCCCAAACACCACTTCCCTACAGAGGCTGCAGATCTGACCTTTGCTGGTTTTAGTGATGGGAGCAGGCAGCAGGACAGCCAGAGCCCTTTAAAGGAAAGACCTGGTGCTCACCCAGAGCCCCTAGGAGAGGTGCTGAACCCTAGGCACAAGGCATGTCTGTAATGAGACCTAGTCTGAGCTCCAAGTCCCACCTGAGATGTGTGAGTGGAGCTCACACAGCTTTGCACAGCAGCACTCTGGCCAGCAGGACAGATCCACATCATGCACTGCCCTGCCTGGTTGCCCTCCCGAACCAGCATTTCCACCCACCCTAGAGGTAGGTGCTTACTCTTCCTTCAGCACAGCTGAACAGGGAACACTCCTTTTAGGTCTCCACCTTGCTATCCTGCCCTCCCTCCACAAGCCCAATGTCTTTTGACATCATGAGATCTTCTCCCAACAGAAATTTGAGATAAGTGCTTTTGACCTTCCAAGGTTAATCATCAGAGGCTTCCAAAGACCGGGAGTCTTTCAGAATAGCTCCTTGTCATCCGGGTGTGCTCCAAGCCAGATGTGGAAACCCAGCCCTGCGGCAGGGATGAGAGAGATAATTTCGGATCTCTGAGGCTCATTTGTATGTGAAAAGAGAAAGATCTTATGCTGCTTCCTCTTGGATTCTCAAACAGTCCTTCATCCACTGTAAATTGTAAATAACTGAGGGAGATTGCTTCTTTCAGCTGCTTTTCTGCAGCACTGGTCTCTTAATTGCTGCATGGCCCCTGAACAGCAGAGCTGAACACAGAGGTTTGATCCGGTTTGGCACAGGGATGCCAAAGGTTTGCAGGCTGCCTCCGAGGGCAAATCAGCCTTTGCAGAGCTGCTTGGGAGCAAAGAAGCTGCTTGCAGCATCAATTGCACTTCAGAAAAAAGAGTTTGGGGAAGGGGCCAAACATCACAAGAAGGATGGGTTTGTTCCCTCAGAGAGAACAAGATCTGAAGACAAAAATTGGCCCAATGTCAGGACCTGACAGTGTCCCCAGGGTAGAGCCCTTTTTAAGAAAGAACCAGGTTCAAAGAGGGATTTGGCAAGTCAATAAAGGATGATTTGGGTCATTCCTGAGGGAGCTGGGATTTCTGCTGGCTTAGACCTGCCTGAAGAAGGACCCCACTGAACAGCTTCTTCCCAGAACTTCTGTCAAACCGGAGTCCCTGGGTGCCCTGCATGGGCAATGCCTGGCGGTGCCATCAGGAACAGCTAGGAAGTTGTTTATCTGTGTCAGAGTAGGCAATTCCCTCATGCCCCAGGGGACCAGGACAGTGATGGAGCAGGGTCCATGGCCTGGCTAGAAGGTTTTAGCCATTATTTCTGCCAGCCATCCACATAAGGTGTCTTAGGATTTTTGAAATCAAATGCCTGTTATCAGAGAGGAAGCAGAAGCATCCCTGTGTTTCCTTGCTAGCAGACACAGCTGAGTTTAGGGAGCATATGCCACCAGCCCCTTTTCTTTAGGCCACAGGCTCTCGAGCCAGGAAGGCTGGATGATATTTTCCTCCTCTCTTGCTGGTATGGTCCTCCTGAAAGGCTGAGGAAGACTGCTGTCCTTCTCCATTGCATGACACCTGCAGCTTCCCATGTCAGTCAGCAACTTTGTGTTCTCCCCACAGACGTGAATTTCAGAATTAAGACACAGATAAAACTGATGTAGACCAGGTTGCAGGACTGACCAAGCATCCCCCTAGAAAGCCTCTCAACAGTGGGTGTCTGCTTGACGTTTTCTTCCTGCCATTTAAGCTTCCCATCGTCAAATGCCACCTTGTTTTCCAGAAGCTATTAAGATGGTTATTTCTGTTATCCTGTTCCCTGAAACACAGCCAGGCAGAGCTGGAAAGCAAGCAAAAGAGGTTCTCCCTGCCTTCTGCATTCCCCATGCACAAGCAGTGGGCTAGGCCCCCCTCAAAGAGCTGATTGATTGCACCTAGCAGGATCCAGAGGCCAACAGGGTCTTTGAAATGGGATCTCTGCTCACTTAGGGAAAAGTCCTACATTTGCTTCATTGGGTTCATTCTTGCAGGCAAGGAAGGATTAGTTTTCATCCCCCCTCCCAGATCTTTGCTCCACAAGCAGAATTGCACCAGCCCGTCTGATACCTTTCTTTATCAAGCAAGGCTTCATTTCACACTTTAACAGCTTATTTTCTCTTGTGAAGGGAGGAGAGAAGGCCTTCCTAGTTAAAAAAAAAATTGGAATATTCCTAACGCAGACTCAGGCAGAGCTCTGGCTCCCACCGAGCCGCCCACGAGCAGTGTGTGCGTGTGTGCCCGTGTGTGTGGGTGTGCGTACACACAGACGTGGCCTTTCACTGCAGGAACACGAGTCAGGCCCCCCAGAAGCTTTGGGGTACGTTTTGCATGCACATATGAGCGTTTACGCGCATCTGTGCATCTATGCCATTGCCCTCTGCTGGCTGAGCTCTTCCCATATCGACCGATGGAGAGTGTGCGTGTGTGGGAGCTGGCACATCCAAACCATCACTGCCCTCTGGAAGCAGCCCAGTCATTTAATCACTAGGTTAAGCCCCGCATTTCAGCACACAGGGCTGGGACTGTTTCTTCTCAGTCCTCACTGCAGCTGCAGAGCAGTGCATGGCACCACGAGCTCCTTCTCAGCCCTAAAAAAAAAATCTCCTTGAGATGCTCATGCCCTTTTGGGAGGATTCGAGATTGAGCAGCTCTGCAGGAAGCATTTGGGTTGCTGTTCTTTGAAGTGCAGGCTTGAGCAGCAGAGCCCTGCAGAAGGAGAAGCTGAATGGTGCCTGGGCTCCCTCTCCGGCCCACAGTCCCCCCAAAAACAAAGGAAAAAGCAGTGTGAGGGGGCACAGACAACGCAGGCAGGCTCCCAGCCCAGTCACCAGCCCACAGCCTCCTCTGCCTCGCCGTGCAGAACCACCAGCTTTGTGGCAGCAGCAGTGGCCGGGGCATGGGAGAGTTGCTTTGGACCACTCTCTTTTTCTGACACACTTTGTTTCTCTCTCCCTCCCTCCCTCCATCCCCCAATGCCTTTATCTCTCCTTAAATTACTCCCCTACTGCACATTGCCCTCTGCCTCTCCCCTTCACCCCCACCCACTAAACGCGCTTGCGTGTCCCCCTCGCTCCGGTGCCATTTCCATGCCCCTTTTCCTCTCTCTCACACCTGTGTTGTTCTCTCTGCCCTGCCCTCCCTCTCTCCTCTGCAGGGGCTGTTAGAGCCTCTAGTATTTTCCCGATCCTGAGTGTGATTCTGCTTTTCATGGGTGGACTCTGCATTGCAGCCAGCGAGTTCTACAAAACCCGACACAACATCATCCTTAGTGCCGGTATCTTCTTCGTGTCTGCAGGTAAAGGGGTGCACAGGGCCTGATGTCCGGGGGGTGGGCTCCAGGGCTTGGGGGGCTGCCCAGCCAGGACATTGGGGTACAGTTGCCTAGGCAGGAGCGTGCGCATTTCCCAGCCCTGTTAAATCTTATTTGGGCTGAAAGCAGCATCACAAGAACGCCTCTCCATCCTGCCTGCTCACCCAGCAGAGGCAGGCAGGCAGAGGCTTTTCCTCCCGCTTGGGAGCTGACAGAGGGAGAGTTTCTCTAATATCTGACATCTCTCAGGGACCGGGAGTGTGGTCCAGGGAAGTGGCAGGCCCATGAGGAGGGTTTTGCCAAGGCAAACTGCCCATCCAGGAGGGGATTCAACCCCTCAGACCCACCACTGCCATGCGTGACCTTCTTGACATCTCCTTCTCTCTCCCCCGCCGGATGACTTGCAGGTCTGAGTAATATAATTGGCATCATCGTATACATATCAGCCAACGCTGGAGACCCCTCCAAGAGTGACTCCAAGAAGAACAGCTACTCCTACGGCTGGTCCTTCTATTTCGGGGCCCTGTCCTTCATTATAGCCGAGATGGTGGGAGTGCTGGCTGTCCACATGTTCATAGACCGGCACAAACAGCTGCGTGCCAACGCTCGTGCCACGGACTACCTCCAGTCCTCTGCCATCACCCGCATCCCCAGCTACCGGTACCGCTATCAGAGACGCAGTCGCTCCAGCTCCCGCTCCACCGAGCCTTCACACTCCAGGGATGCCTCTCCCGTCGGGATCAAAGGGTTCAACACCCTGCCATCAACAGAGATCTCGATGTACACCCTGACCAGGGACCCGCTGAAGGCAAGCACCACCCCCACCGCCACCTACAACTCCGACAGGGATAACAGTTTCCTCCAGGTTCACAACTGTATCCAGAAAGAGAACAAGGACTCTATCCACACCAACACAGCCAACCGCCGGACCACCCCGGTATGAAGCCGTCGCCAGGAGCTGACAATGGGGCAGGAACGGGCAGGAGGAGACGGGGGTGGGCTGCAGGGTGGGGAGGGTGGAAGGGGGCAGGGGGCAGCAGGGGGGTGGGGAAGGAGGAGGTGGAAGCGCCCCTTGGTGGAGTGGGGACCTTCCCAATGCAAAAAAAAAAAAAAAAAAATCCACAAAAAAAACCAACAAAAGCAAACAAAAAAACTGACAAAAAAAACAAACAACAACAACGAAGGAACAAGCAGATAAGCAGACAAACAAGCGAGTGAACAAAAAAAAACAAACAAACGAAAAGGAAACATGAGGAAAGAGACAACAGTGAAAAAAATCTTTAAAAAAAAAGCAAAAGAAAAAAGAAAAAAAAGAAAATCCTTAAAACTGAGAGAAAGAGATTTAAAAAATAGAAATAAATTTAAAAGAAAATGCATGATTTCCCATGTACCATTATTTTAACATTTAATAAAAACAGATTAAAAAATAAAAGGGAACAAAGAAATAACAAATGACAATAAATCAAGTGGGAGGAAGAGGAGGAGGAGGAGGAGGCAGCTTTTTTAATTTTGGGAGGTTTTATTCTTTTATTTTATGGTTTGTTTCCCACTTACCTTTAACCCAGCACAGGCTTCTTGGGGAACAGGGGATGGGGGTTCGGCTGCCAGTGACTTTGGTGTCCTCGGGCCAGTTATGGAGGATCCTGGGTGCCGGAGTTAGCCACGACCCGCTCTGTTCCCCTGAGACCCACGGGGATCCACTCCATTCCCCTGGGATCCGTGGGGATCTGCTCATCCTCCACAGATCCATAGGGGTTTAAAGTGACCCCAGGGAGCGCAGGAGCTGATGCTGAGTCACCCTCCACAGTGTCCCCAGGGGGGTCCCCACTTCCCCTGCCCTGGGGACCCTGGGGTTAACGGTGACAGTGCAAAAAACAAGCAGACACAGTAAATAAAGACACACACATAGAGACAAAAAAAAAAAAAAAGGACAAAAGAGGTTTCTTAAAAAAATAAAGTGGCAATTTTTTAATAAAACAACAGCTATAAATAAATGTAAATATAATAAGTGGATTTACTTGCAAGAACAACAGATAGTATTTTTTTCTTTTAATTTTTGTTTTCTTCAGCTTTAAACTGTGAACAAAAAGAAAAGAGGCGGCAGGGAGCTGTGTGGGAGGCACAGGTAGAGGGTGGGGGGGGCTGGCGGAGGGCAGCCGGGGCTCCCATCCTTTCAGGGGGATGATGCTGTGGGGGGGACACACATGGGATGCTGTGGGGGGGACAGCACTCGCGCACACGTGTGTCCATGCTCACACACTCTTGCCCTGGTGGGCGCACGCTCTCCTGTGAATGCTCCAGAGGCTCCCCAGGGTGGCCATGCACCCCTCAAATCTGCCCAGATCCCCCTTGGGTCGCATCAGCGGGGCTGCAGCCATGCAGGGGCACGGTGAGGCCGCCCAGCCGCCCCTGAAACCGCTCCCGTCCTGGCCTGGGCCCGGTGAGCACACCCTGAGCCAAAGCCGGCCACAGGCTCCCGGCCTCCACCCGCGCCCCTGCCGGTGCCCACGGCAGAGCCCCCGAGCCGTGCCGGAGAGGCGCCAAGCCAGCGGGTGTCCCCACGCCCGCCGCGCTGCGCCCTCCTCCTCCTCCTCCTGGGGGTCCCCCACGGCCATGGCGCCCTCCACAGCAGCAGGGCAAGGCCAGCGGGGCCTCCCAGTCCCCCGGCCCCTGGCTGCCGCCCCCTCCCTCCCTGGCGCCCCTCAGGGAGGGAAGGGGACACCGGGGTGCCAGCTTTCCTTTCCATGCTGCTCCGCTCCCTCCACGGGAGCCCTGCCGATGGAGGCGGGAGGGGAGGTGGCACAGGGGTGATGGGGTGCCCCTGTGACACCCACAGACAGCGGCCAGCCCGGGGTCAGGACAGGAGCCCTTTGGGGCTGCTCCCCGAGAGCAGGAGCGACCGGGGCAGGCACAAAGCCGAGAGTTTGCAGGATGGGGCCGCTGAGCCCTTCGGCAGCTCAGACCCACTTTTCGACTTTTTTTCCGTCCCCATTCCTGCTGCTCCAGTTTTAGGAGCTGCGCAGTCCCCGCTCCAGGTCCCAGCGGGGGTTCTGCTGTAAAGCAGCCAGATCCTCCCCGCTCCCCGACCCGCTGCTGCTTCACCCCCTTCCCCGCTCCGGGGGCAGCACAGGGACGGGGTCACCCCAGAAACGGCGTCGCGGGGCGAGAGGCGGCAGCGAGCGCCTCGGCTGGCTGTTCGGACCCCACCCCACTAATGACATCCCCTCCCGTGGCCCCCCAGCCCTTTCAGAACGATTCACAGGGGATATTCACCCCCTCCAAAGCCTCCCGAGGAACAAGTCAAAGCCAGTCCCCATATTCCAGCGTAGAGGGAAGGTGGCCTTGGGGTTTCCATCCCCACCCAACACTGCTCGGAGCTGCGGAGCATTCACAGGGCTGAGCGCGCCCCGGGGCCAGGAGGGACGGGGAGAGTGCGGGAGGGCGCCAGGAGAGCGTGGGCAGGAGGCAAGGGCTGGAGGGGAAGAATTTTCCCCAGAGTGTTGCTCATGTCCAGCTCAAACCAGTACAAGAAACCAACCTCCATTTCCTTTATTTCGTGAGTTTTTTTCAGACTGTTAAAAAGAAAAAAATTTTAAAAAGAGAAAATGACAAAAAAAATCCTGGTACATGAAATAAAGATTTTTTTTTTATAACTTGGTCCTCGTTTACGTGGATTTACTTGGGGGGGGATTTGTAGTGCCTGAAGAGTACCTCACAACCCAGCAAGAGAAGGTACCGCTGTGGACAATTTCATCCTCATTGGAAATTCAGAGGATGGGCTTGCTTCAAGATAGTCTTTGAGATACAGGAATGGATGAGGCAAGAAAAGAGTGTTTTGCCAAAACTTTTTAAGTAAGTGTGGGTAAACTCAAGTCATTCATGGGCTTTCTCTGCTGCCCTCCAAAACACCTGCTCCAGCCTCTCTTTAGCTTCAGCATCTCCCCTCCTGTGCCATTCTTCCTGGGGTGGAGATACCACAAAGGCTGATGCTGCAATTCCTACTGCAAACAGTGGCTTTCATGGCAAGCCGAGAATTGCCAGCAAGGTCAGAATTCATACACACTGGAGGGCTCAAAAAGGAAAAAGAAAGTGACTCCAGCATTGTTTTGGGGTTTTGTTCAGCCACTCATGGCAATTTCCTCACTAGCTGGATTGGCAGTGGGTGCCTGGTAGAAATGCTCAGGTAGGAGCTTGGAGAGGGGGAGTAACTTACAGCTGGAGATGCAGACCCAGAAACAGGTAAGGCGGCAGCAGAGCAGGGAGGCAAGATCCCCACAAAGAGGACGAGGCACCTCCCCTCCCACTCACCATTGGCAGCAAGGGTGTCACCAATGAGCTTCCCTTCCCCCTGCACTGGGCTCTCACTTCCCGTGAGACCCTCCGTGCCTTTCTGAAGCAGACCAGAATCCCCATCAGACTTCGTGACTGCTAGCTCAGAGGGATGACGTGGGAGTACAGCCACCTGAGTGACAAAGCTTCTCTGTGTGTGACCCACAGCAGACAAGTGAGCCCTCGAGCTGAATGAGCAGGTCAGAGCAGGGCAGTTGATTTGGCAGCACAAGGAAGGCACAGCTGGCTGCAGGAGTCCCAGCAGGCGCTGCTGGGTCGCAGTGCGATCACAGCACTGCAGTTCTCCCCGCTGCCCAACGCACCTCACACCCAGGGGATAGAGATGCTGATACCTGTGCTCAGCATCTCTATCCCCTGGGCAGCACCAGTGGGTCCCCACTCTGGCCCTCACTGCATCCCCTCTAGCACAAGCTCCTCCAGCTCATCCCCTTCCTTTGGGCCCCTGGCAGCACCTAACACCCACCCCAGCATTCCAGCTGGCAGGATGCTCCACTGCCAAGGTATTGGGGGCACCCGCCGACCCATTTCTGCTCCTCCTCCAGGGACCCTTCCCAGCAGCGTCCTCACCAAGAAGGAGGGCACAGGGAGGGGAGAGGCAGCAAAGCAGGCCAGGAGCCTGTCTGGGGGACACCAGGGAGCTCCTGGCCCTGCCACACGCACATCTAGAAGGCACCTGTCTTCCCACCCCGTCCAGTGCACAGACCCCAAAACCTTCTCACCTCCTCCTCATCTCCTTGCCTGGTTCTGAAGCCTCCCCCCATGCTGAGTGCTCCTGCTTGGGCATGGGTGGGATAAGCTGAAGGAACCTCCCTGCATATCCTCCATCCACCCTGTGATGTTTCCAATCCTGGCCTGCTTCAGAGCTTGGGGCAAGAGCGTGCTCCCTTATCCTCCTCAGTGCCAGTGAGGCACTGGGGAGATGTGGCTACACTTCCCACACAATATCCTGCCTGGAGTCAAGGGCATGCACAGCTCACCCCCTCCACACAACTCCATGAGGGGTGCACTTCCTCGTAGGGCGCAGAGGTTTCTCCCCTTCTCTGTCGGGGATGAGGCAGCGAAGCAACTCCAGCCTGAAATTAGGTGTGGGGAATTCTCTTCAGACTGTGCCAGCCTCCATGCCATAATAATTAGTACTAATACTCAGCACTTATGCAGCACTTTTCATGTTCAAAGCACTTTGCAAACATTAACTAATTAATGTCATATTAAGTGATGTCTTAGAGGGGCAGCATCGAAAGCAAACGACTTGTGCGTGGGCAGAAGCTCTCATTCCCCATCTCTCCCCAGTCACGTTAACACATAGGTAGGTGAGAGACCCTAATAAGTTTTCCTGCTCCCCTCCCAGTTCTCAGTGCTCCCCATTCCACATGCTTGCCTCTCCCACTGCTGGTTGTGTGCTCTGGCAGGCCCTGAGTATGCCAGGGGTGAGCAGGGCACCAGGGTCCTCTCCTCCACAGCACTGAGCCACTGAGGCCTCGTGACTGAGAGGTCAGTTAAAATATTTGGGTTGGAAAAGTTCCTGCCCCAGTCCCAAGTCCCAGCAGTGGGGAAGGAGAGACAGCAGGCCCCTTGCAACACAGCCAGAGTGGAGATGGAGCAGGCAGAGTCTGGTCCAATGCCTTCAGCCAGGTCCCTGTCATGTCCCGG